GTGTGACAGCAAAACTTGGGGTAAACCAAGCCTTGGAAGAAAAATTCCATTCCTCTGCTTTTCTTATGCTGAGCATAACTGAAGTCTCCAGAGACTTGCTCTCTCCAGACCAGGAGACACCTCAATAAGAGTTGATTATCTCTCTGCTGAAAGCACCAGGCAAAGGGGCGATCCTCTCCATTTCCCCTCAGCTCTAGATCTGTTGTGCTGATCCAGCAGCAAGATGGTATTAAAAATGGAGTTCTGGATTCCTGCTCTTTGAAATGTAAAGTTCATTTAATGGAAATTCTGCAGAGGGAGAGTGAGGAATGGTCCCAAATTCTGGGAAGGTAAGACAAGATGCCTTCACACTCTTTGTATTATTAACCTATTTGGGAAGAATAATTCTGTCTATTGAGTAAATTGCTGTGTGAAATTCTCTGTCTTGGTCTATGTAGAAGGTCAGGCTGGGCAGTTATAATGACCTTTTCTGGCCATCCTGTTTCTGGAACCGATTCCTGATGGCACTACACTCTCCCAAGTCAGAAAGAGGCATTTCTACACTTGCTTTATACTTGTGTGCAAGAGGACAGAACCCTGGAAAACCAGACCTTAGACTCTATCTGGATACATGCTGTTGCATCTGCCATTATTTCTATTAATTACCCTCATTCAAATACTGAATAGTTGAATAACAATGGGATGATGATGACACAGAAGGAAGCAACAACTATTGCAGTAAAATATTCTGGCTGTCTTTGACAGGATTGGTGTGCTCTGATAAAGGTCAGATGGCAAGAATAAATTAAAGGAGATCCTGCTAAGTAGTCTGTTCTGGCAAACACTGTCGAGAAGCCAGGCTGCATGAGCCTTCACCATGATAGCTGGGGGTCGTAGTGCTGACTGTGTCAGGTTTGCCTGATTGCTTCTAGGGTTCATTCAGTTATGACATTGTTGTATTTTAACTATATGGGCTGATCTTTTCCAGAATTGTCCTCTTATACTCTCTCTGTGGTAAGTGTTGGGCAAGTTTCAGCCAAAAATGATTTTGCCCTGAGGACAAAGCTAGTAAAAGAAATACAGGCTTGTCAGTGCTAAAAAATATAGGTAGGTATGAATTATGTATTTGCTGGTTTGGAGGAGGCATCTGGGATTTGGTGGAGTTGGTGTACTACTGGGTTCAGGGAGGGACTTTCCATTATGCTTGTGAAGTTATAACCAGAGAAAATCACTTGTTGCTCAGTAGCTGGCTTTCTATGTGCTGCTGGCTCTTCCAAACCTCTTTCAGTAGCTAGGTACCAGCCTGAGGGTGTGTATACACAGCAAAATATAGGTAGTATTAACTGCACAGTAGATGTATCTGCACAAGATCCTACATCACTGTAGCAATGAGCAGTACTTGTTGCTTAAGCAAGTACTAAATGGCTGCGCAGTAAGAACTGTGCAATTAGCTGCTCATGTAGATTCATTCAGTTAGGCAGTAGAGTCACAGCAATATGGATTTTAGTTTGAGATAGCAACTGGAGTTCTTGCTGCACAGTCTACAAAAAAACACTAGATAGATGACAAGTATTGGTTAAAAAAAAACAGCAGGCAGGCATCTAGACTTTCCCCTTAGAACCAGAGTTGAACCCAGGAGTCCTGACTCCCAGCTCAGCTCGCCCACAGGTTGCTTTAACCACCAGCTGTACTTTGCTTCTGGAGGAGAACAAGAACACAGGAGCCTCCCCGGCTCAGTTTCCTTTAATCCAATAAAGCTCACCTTTACAGCTAGGAATAGATTAGCTGTTTTCTGTGGCTCAGGTGCTTGTGTCTGGAGTCACATTCCAGATGGGCTCCAGAGGCCAGCTGAGCAATGCAAGGGCTCAGGGAGCAAAGATGTGGGGCTTGCCATGGGATGCTAAAAGCCCTTTGAGTGGTTGGCGTATCATGCCATGCCCCAGATTCTGGCCTGGGGTTCATTTGGAGCCCTGGCAGTGTCTGTGAGGGCAGTTAACCTGGCCTGGCCAAGCCTCCCCCACTTCTTTTCCTTTTTAAATTTTGGGGCCACCAAGAACTTTGCAGCCCTAACACAGAAACCCCTGGCACCCCTTCAGGTTTGCATAGTATGAGGGTGGAAGTTACAGGAGAATTTGTGGCTCCTTGTGGCCTCTTCTTGCTGGGCACAGGGTCCTCACGTCACTTGGTGTTTTCACTTAACTTTTTTTAAGCTGTCCCACCAGAGGATTGTTGAAGGTGGCTGGTACCTGCCCCTCTCTTGAAGCCCTTTCCAATCCCAGTTCCTCGATTGCTTGAACAGGCCACAGGGCTGGGACCTACCCCTGACAGGGACACTTCCTGGCCAGCTCTGGGTTGCATGGGGAAGTCTGCATGTGCAGCCCAGAGCTGGCTATGGACTGTCTAAAACAGAACAGTCCCCAGACACCTTCAGGGTGCATGTGCAGACTTCCCTGTGCAACCCTGGGCTGGCTGGGAACTGTCCAGGTCAAGGACAGGTCTCAGCCAGCTCCAGGCTGGGCACAGAACTCTCTCTGTACAGGGAGCTCCCAGGCCCTGCTCCGTGATCACAGAGGTGTTGTTAACCAGCTTCCAGCCCCTGTTCTGTACTTGCAGAGTTTGGGCTGGGAGCTACCTGCTGCCAGGGCAGGGGGACATTGACTCAGCCCAAGCTCCGGTGACAGAGCCTGTCCCAGCAGGGACCAATCTCCTGCCCCTACTGCCCAGCTGCCCAGGAGCAGATTTGTTCCCAGTGGGCTGTCTATACATTCTGTACTGTGCAGTAATTACTCAGCAGTTAATTTGCTATTCGCATTTGCAGGTAGCAAGTTAACTGCAGAGTAGAGGACATTACTGTATAGTAAGGGTCAGCACATGTAGATGGTAATGCTTTCTATGCAGTAATTAGCTCTATTGCTCAGTAAAGTATCTTGTGTAGATGTGCCCTGAGTTCAAAGAAGAGTAAAAAAAAAAAAATCTGACATCTACAAAACATGACCTATGAGGAGGTCCTGACGACCTTCACCCCAGAGTGCTTAGGGAACTGGCAGAGATCATTGCAGGACCCCTGGCACAGCTTTACGAGCACTCGTGGTGCTCTGGTGAGGTGCCTGATGACTGGAAAAGGGCCAGTGTGGTCCCCATTTTAAAAAAAGGGAGGAAGGAGGACCCAGGAAACTATAGGCCTGTTAGTCTTACCTCGGTCCTGGGGAAGCTCTTTGAGAAAATTATCCAGGAGCACATCTGCGAGGGGCCAGCAGAGGATTTTATGCTTAGGGGCAGTCAACACAGGTTCATTAGAGGCAGGTCCTGTCAGACCAACCTGGTGGCCTTCTATGACCAGGTCACAAAATCCTTGGATGCAGGTGACGCGGCGGATGTAGTCTTCCTGGACTTTAGGAAGGCCTTCGACACTGTCACTCACCCCATCCTCATTAAAAAATTAGGCATGTGTGGTGTTGATGCCTACACAGTCAGATGGGTCGCAAATTGGCTGGAGGGCCGCACCCAGAGAGTGGTGGTGGACGGGTCATTTTCGACGTAGAGAGATGTGGGCAGTGGGGTTCCCCAGGGCTCGGTCCTCAGGCCTGCACTGTTCAATATCTTCATCGGCGATTTGGACAAGGGGGTGAAAAGCACCTTGTTCAAGTTTGCAGATGACACTAAAATGTGGGGAGAAGTGAGCAAACTAGAAGAGAGGGACAGGCTACAACTAAATCTTGACAGGTTACAGAGGTGGGTGGATGAGAATAGGATGGGTTTCAATACGGACAAGTGCAAGGTGCTGCACTTGGGGAGGAAGAACCAGCAGCATAACTACAGGCTGGGGAACTCCCTTCTCGTCAGCACAGAGGCAGAAAAGGATCTTGGTGTCACTATTGATTCCAAGATGAACATGGGTCGCCAGTGTGGGGTTGCGGTCAGGAAGGCTAACCACACCTTGTCATGTATTCACAGATGCATCTCAAGGAGGTCCAAGGAGGTGATCCTCCCCCTCTATGCGACATTGGTCAGGCCGCAGTTGGAGTACTGCATCCAGTTCTGGGTGCCGCACTTCAGGAAGGATGTGGACAGCATTGAGAGGGTCCAGAGGAGGGCCACTTGCATGATCAGGGGGCAGCAGGGCAGGCCCTATGAGGGGAGGCTATGGGACCTGACCCTGTTCAGCCTCCACAAAAGAAGGCTGAGCGGGGACCTGGTGGCCACCTATAAACTTGCCAAGGGGGACCAGCAGGCAATGGGAGAGTCCCTGTTCCCCCAAGCACTACCGGGGTTAACAAGGAACAACAGCCATAAGTTGCCTGAGAGTAGATTCAGACTAGATATCAGGAGGCACTACTTCACAGTCCGGGTGGCTAGGAGCTGGAACCAACTTCCAAGGGAAGTGGTGCTTGCCCCTACCCTGGGGGTCTTCAAAAGGAGGCTAGACAGCCACCTAGCTGGGGTTATTTGACCCCAGCATCCTTTCCTGCCCATGGCAGGGGGGCGGACTAGATGATATGCTTAGGTCCCTTCTGACCCTACCAACTATGAAACTATGAAAGACTGAAGGAAACTGGTATGCTTAGTCTTGAGGAGATAAGTCTGAGAGAAGACATAGTAAGTCTCCAACTGTGTAAAAGGTTGGTATAAAGAGGAAGGTTGTGGCTTCTTGTCCATCTCCCTTGGGCATTGGACAAGATCCTCATTCCCTGTGATTGTTTCTGGAGTGAAGGTAAGTCTGGAGGTAAGGTGACACATAGCACAAGATCAGGCAGGTAAATTGAGCTACACACAATGCATAACATGTAATGCAAAGAACCCCACATTTAAGAGACTAAACGGGCCTATGGCAGAACTGGGACTCGATCCCAAATCACCTGCATTTTAGCTTAACTACAAATATAGCCATCCTTTCCTCAGACCTGCTGTGTTCTCTTCTCTCCCCAGCTTTTCAGTTCTGCTGTTTGAAAGTGTGCTACTTCTTCTGCTCTTTTAGGTTGTAAAAGTCTCCAAATTCTCACCACTGAAGGACACAAAGGTTCATGACACTGCAGGAAATGGATTTGAGAGGAGAGAACTACAGCACAGCCACAGGGTTTATCATCCTGGGCTTCTCCAGCCGGCTGTCCTACCAGCAGATGCTGTTTGGGCTGTTCCTTATCATGCACCTGGTCACCTTGGGGGGACACATGACCATTGTTTTGGTCACCCTGGTAGACCCTGCACTGCACATCCCCATGTATTTCTTCCTCCGTAATTTGTCTGTCATTGAGATCTGCTACACGTTAGTCATTGTACCCAAGATGCTGGCCAACTTCCTGGCTGGAAACCACAGGATTTCCTTGGTTGGTTGTGCCACACAGATGTGTTTCTTCATTGCCTTGGGTGGTGCAGAGTGCTTTTTGCTGGCTGCCATGGCTTATGACCGTTATGTGGCCATCTGCAACCCCCTACGCTACACCCTGATCATGAGCAGGCCTCTCTGCCTGCAGCTCCTAACAGTGGCCTGCACCAGTGGCTTCCTGCTGTCGCTGGGACTCACTGCTTTGATTTTCCATCTGCCCTTCTGCCACTCCCATGAGATCAACCACTTCTTCTGTGACATCCCACCTGTGCTGGAGGTGGCCTGCTCTGACACCCATGCTGATGAGGTGGCTGTCTTCCTTGTCTGTATGTTGATATTGATGGTGCCATTCCTGATGATCCTGGCCTCCTATGTGCTCATTGTCGCCTCTATCCTACGCATCCACTCTGCCCAGGAACGCAGGAAGGCTTTCTCCACCTGTGCCGCCCACCTGGTAGTGGCTGTCCTCCATTACGGCTGTGCCATCTTCATCTACATACGGCCCAAAGCCAGCTATGCCCTGGAGCAGGACAAGGTGGTATCACTGATCTACACCAATGTCACACCCATGCTCTACCCTGCCATCTACAGCCTGAGGAACAGGGAGGTACAGGGAGCACTTAGGAAGGTCTGGGATCGTATCTTTCTTCTATAATGATGCAGATGGGGATTTGGGGCTCAGTGGGATTTTCAGAGTTCCTCAATTTTCCTCAAATTTTACAGCTTTAGCTTGGGAACTTTCTAAGAGGCCAAACTCTCAGAGGGTGGGTGCCCTGCTCTTGCTGAAGTCTGGGTGAGTGAGGTTAGTTCAGGGGTGGGCAAAATACAGCCCACAGGCCATATCTGGCCTGCCAACTGACTACATCCAGCCTAAGGGCGGGTGCCACCAATTGACTGTGATGTATCCACACTGTGATGCTTTATATGGGGCCAGGAGCAATGGAAAGGCCCGCACAGCTAGTGATAACAGAAATGAAACAATAAAGCAATTCTATAGCTTCCAATTCTAGGGCTGTCATCAGAGTTAACATACATCTGGCCAGGACTTAGGTTTCACTCTGAGGCTCTCTCTTTGGTGTCAGATGTCAGCATGTCAGCAGCCTGGAGGTGGGATGCCAAGGCCCTCCCCCTCTCCCCCCTGCATGGGGTGGTTGATACAGGCTGGTGGTGTGCCCTCTGTCCATGGTGGCCTTGGGGACCCCTCCTGGGGAACGGGGATGGGAACCCCTCTCAGGGACCCTACTGGGGAGAAGGATGGGGAAGAGGAGGACCCAGCCCCTTTGCTGTTCTCAAGTCTGTGCTTTGTATTCTCCTTTCCTCTTGATGACTCTTTATCCTTGGCTGTTGCTGATTGGTCTGTCTGTGTTTGTCACTGCCCATGTTCTGTGTTGTCAACCAAAGTCCCATTTTCATAAACCTATCACATGCTCACATCCTAATTTGGGGCTTTACCAGTGTCCTCCTAATTTGGTCTGTTCCCCCAAAACCAGAAAACTCTATAGTCTTCTGCTCTCAGGTCTTGCTAGCTGGTGCCACCTTATTTCATGTTAGGGAAAAGTACATGCCCCCACTTTCCCAGGCTGTGTGTGTATACCTTGGCTTTGCTGTGTGAGACAGCCTGTCTGCTTCTGAAGGCAGAGGAGGAGGAGCTGTTGGAGGCAGGGGGAGCAGAGCAGTACCAGATGGGTGCAGCCACACCAGGAACAGCCCTGCTAGGAACCTGTGTGCCCTGGCTGGGGCTGTGGGCAGGCACATGGTGTGGGCTGACTCGGGTGGGAACAGGAGGGGATTGGCCCCACATGGAGCATTATTCAACTATTCAGTATATTTGGGGGCAGGGGGCAAAATGTACCTGCACTTGCACCACCCAGATGAGCTCTGCTGCATATGCCCCCTTCCTCCCTCCTTTCCCCACCTGTGGTTGGTTCCCAGGACTAGTGTGTGAGCAGCCCCCCACCCCTTCACCCCACATGTCCAGACTCTACCCCCTCCACAACCCCCTATACCCACCCCCAACACACAATATGCAAGAGTAAGAATTTATTTTGAGCTATTAATGTGGTCACCACTTTGTACACTGCTCAAAAAAGCCATAAATCAGGACAAAAATTATTCTTTGAAATAAAAGTAAAATATATTATAGTACATGTTTGGTTTTTAGTATATGATTTTTTTATCTCTAATTTGTTAAAATGATTTCTTTTGAAAGATTTTATGTGTGGCCTTTGATAGCTCACCAAAATAATTGCCCACCAGCCAATATAATTGCCCACCCCGGTTTAGTCCCTGACAGGTAGCCCCTCTGTGCTTCTGAGATCTTGGCTGCCATGAACAGGAAGGGAAGCAGAACAGGTGGATGCAGGTTTTGCTTGGATTCTCTTGAGACTGACCTTGGATAGCAATTCAGGCTGAGAGTCATGAAGTTGCCTAAGGTGTGTGGTAGGCATGCCAGTAGCAGCCTGGCTTGCCAGCTCAAAAGGGCTTCGAACCATTGGTGGGACATTCCCACCAATCAGGTGGTGGTGGAGAGGCTGCCTTGCCCCTGCTCAGGGGAGGCAAAGAGCCTGGACCTGGGTGAGGGCTATACTTCCCCTCACCCTGATTGGTCCTCTTGCAATCTGAGGGCGGAGCTTCTGAAGGGTATAAAAGAACAGCATGCCCGGCACATGGAGACGCTGCGTTGCAGGACAAAAAAGAGAGCGGGAGTAAAAGCTGGGGAGAGCTGCCCTGCAGGGTGAAGCAGTAGCCCTGAAGACCCCACAGATTTCCTCGCTGGATGGGAGTGGCAAGCGATGCAGCCCACACCTGCACCGTTGAGAAGCGCGATGGAGGTGCACAGTTTGGTGCATGGAGTCAGACCTTGGGAGCTGTATGAGGCAGCTTGGGTCTGCACCCCTGGCATGTGGCCAGAGGTGCAGTGCACAAGCAGTGCGTGGAGTGGGGACCCTGGAAGCTGCACAAGGCAGCTTAGGTCCACAACCCCTGGCACGAGGCCAGGGGCTTGGTGCAGGTGGCACTGCATGGCAGGTCCATGAGGGACCAAAACGCTGGGAGCTGCACGAGGCATCTCGGGTCCCCTGCCTAGTAAGCGACCAGGATTTTGGTGCATGGATGGTGAACGGTGCAGTCCAAGTGGGATTGAGGCCCTGGAGCTGTATGAGGTGGCTCGGGTCTCCAACACCTGATACAAGGCCAGGAAGACTCGGTGCAGGCTGCACTGCACAGAGGGTTTCTGAGCAGACTTAGGCCCTGGGAGTCGCGTGGGGTGGCTGGGATCAACTCCCTTCCCGCCCTTGCCCCCTCCCAGCATTCAGCAAGGCATCTAATGCTGAAGCCTTGCATGAAGGGCCCTGGTCGAAACCAAGATCCCGGAACCCTGCAAGATGGCTCAGGGCCCCAACCCCGAGCAGAAGAGTAACACCTTTGGCGCACACCATGGTGCACATGGCCACTGGCAGCTGGTGGGCCCAGAGCGAGCAAGAGATAGCTGGAGCTTCAGTAGGAGAGGCAGCAACTCGCTGGGAAAAAGACAAGGACCCTCCAACTGGCTTCCCAGAGTTGTGAGTTCCCGGAGAAGGGGATTCCCACAGGGGAGAGGGAATCCACCTGGGCTGGAAAAGCCGACCACTGAAGGGGAAGCCCAGAAGGCCAGGGCTCCCCAAGTTTAAAGTTTTATTTGGGGTTAAGGGATATTTTGGATGGGCTGGGGAAAGCCTGAGGGGCACCTGGGGAGCTTCTCCCCCTCCCCCCACCCCCCAACAGCCACAGGAACTGAGACAAGGCTCCAGAATAGCCTGGGCCTTGGGGTTCCTAGAATATTTCATTATATTCAAGGGTGATGCACCTTATATTTTGTGAGTGGGCGCCGGGTATTGTGTGGTTTATATTTCATGTTTTATAAGTGTAAGTTGATAAAGTCTAAAATGATTGAGTTATATTGAAATCTTTCATCTAATATTATGAGGCTAAGTATTTGATAGCATATATATATATATATATTTTTTTTTATATATATAGATAGATTTATATTTAATATCTAAGTAGATTTACATTTTGATAGAGTTTAAGGTTATAAAACACTTGTTGATGTCACAACCCAGTGATTTTGGTGCCTCGGCACGATGGAATTTTCTTGCCACATGAGAGCCTCTTGCACAGTGAGGGTTTTTGCTGCACAGAAGAACCCCGGTGCAAGAGAGTTCCCGCCATTCGACTGCAAATTTGTGTCCTGCTATTGGCCAGTTCTAAATTATTCACACGTGGTGGCTAGTAATTGGCTTGCTAGCCGTTTAAAATTTCGTGCGACTTCTGCCCAAGTCGAAGAACTTTGAGCACGCTGCAGAGTGCCTCTAAAGAGATCTGACTTGCGGCTGGTTGATCGATAGACTGATCACCTATCGATCCTTCTTCCCGTCGCCGAGCGCAATCCCAGAGGTACCCTTTTCCAGCCGGCTTAATTTGCGGATGGATTAACTGGCTTGGGCCTCACCAGCTGGAACAACTCACATAGTTGTTCAGACGACCGGACCATCTGCGTCGCAACTACAAGTGGCGTAAGTAAATGTTTTTGCAGCCATTAAACCTTGTCTGCCTCTCCATTCACCAGCCCGCCCTAACGAACGAGCAATTTCTAAATCACCTCGAGTCGGCTCTGGCCGGCCGAGACAGTTGAAACTTAGGTTAGAATTTTATTATAACAGTTACCTGTATCCTGAGAGAGGTATAGAACTGTGTAAATATTGCCTATAATCCTTGTTATTGTAAATGTTTGTGTGTGTGTGTGTGTGTGTGTGTGTGTGTGTGTGTGTGTGTGTATGTTTATTAATATTACCGTATAAAGATTAAAAGAATATATACAATATAAATAAGACAAAGATTTAAAAATATATATTTTAAATCTTTTTCTTATTTATATTGTAATATTAATAATCTTGTATATAGTTAAGTTATAGAGTGTGTTGGTCTGGCTCTCTATAGGGGAAAGAGGAAACTGCATGCTGCCAGCAGTTTTCCCACACAGTACACCTGCACTGCTAGCATCTTTCTTCAATTGGAGAAGGGAGTACACAACCAGCTACACCCGGGTTACAGGTGTTTAGATGTTTGTACCCGTATAAATGGATGAGGACTGGGTGTGGAGATCTCAGAGACAACTATGACATCTTAACTCTAACACACTGCATGCCAACACTGCCTCAGCAGAAGATTGCTCCTGGGACCTCTGCTGACACTGACCCAATGATCAGGGACCCCAGACACTGTGGAGGGAGGGCTGGCAATACCTTCAGATCAGAGGGCATGGAATTGGCACATGTTGATATGCCCAGGGCAGCTCCCCGCACTTTCAGAGGGTCTGTACAGAATCTAGTAGGTATCATTGGATAGTTAGCTGTTCCTCCTGTTAGATTGTCTCAGGCTTCTTGTAAACGTAGGCAGACTGCGCTGGTAACAGATTGGTCAGGTTTGAAGGATTTATATTGCAATGCTGAAGGCAAAACTTATTTATATATAGAAATGAAAGGTGCAAGTCATGTGACTGAGGGAGCTGGGACCCCAGGGTGCCTATACATGAGCAGGGAACTGCTCCAACACACTGTAATTACAGCATGTTGGAGCAGACTTGATTAATTGAGTCTGCTGGAGTATGGTAATTAC